TGTATCATCGCATCAACACCCTCCACCCTTCAGTCTAGACGGTCTTGTCTTCAGCATTTCGACGCGTGTTGCAGAGGGTGCTGAGGCGTGTCTTCGCTGTGAGTACTTCCTTTGACCACAGGCCAACCACTGTTTCACAATGATTATCTCCTTTGTGGAGGAGGTCAGTCCGACCAGGACAGAAGTTGCGGTGGCAGCATCCACGCGATTTCGGTACCCTGGCAATCTTCGGGAAGCTCATAAAAGGTCTGGTAAAGTGGTGAATGTAAGCCTCAATATTGCCTTTGTGGACCCATCACCCACCGTCTTTAATCGACCAATGGTGTGAACTTGGTGCGATTATGAATGCGCGGAGGCCTTGTCATTAAGCAGAAAAATTAGAGGCTTGTCAAAAGCGTACTCTTACAGCATGAAGAATTATTGACAACAATGATAACCCACTGGACTTCCATTTTAAGTGCGAAATAGTGAAGTATGTTATAAACGAATGGTGTGGTCCTGCAGTGGTGGCTTTTCAAATGAATAAGGAAAATAAAGCAACAGCTTCTTAATGCACCTAAGTTTGATGTCTAGGGCCAATCCCAGTTTAATGCCCACATCACTTACAGCCACATCCTTTCTAGAAAACAATTTCTACACCATCGGTGAGAGGTGCCAGGGGTATATCTGTCTCATCCGAAGACGAAGGAAGACAAAATACTCGGGCAGAATATATATTCAGCGCAGAGATGGTGCTGGGCTATCGGCATGGCCCAAAAGGCCAGCCCACCCAGCGAGGTAAAAGGGGCTAATTCATGGTACAAAAGTGGCGCCTCATTAACATCGAAGGATAAACCACTATGGTATTGCATAATATATGAATACACAAAATAGTCCTAATGGGCTGTGTTGTTTCAAATCAGCACACCAAACATGCCGTGGTTGCTTCTAGATAATCGCTCACAAACTAGTCAGTTAGAACCAAATATAAAGCGGCCAAATCGCGGCTAATTTATTTTCTTAGATGCATAATTTAAATTACATATCTTTTATTAGGTCGGCAAATTTCCTTCTACTTCGTTAAACGATTCGTAAATAAGTGTCTTAGACCCAAGTAAGTAAACATCATCCACACTATTACAGTTGTTGACGAATTGATAGTTAACTAAAAGCATAGACAACTTAGTGGTTTCATATTCAATTTTGCAAATTTCTATCACCCTCAAGTTATAAAATAATAGGCTTCTGTTGCTCATTTCAACAACCAATTCTACTTTCTGAACCTAAGTAAGCAATGACTGACGAAAATAAAAACTAAGAGGTGCATTTTAGATGTCATTGATGGCTGATTCAGGCATTTAAGAAGACAATTTGTTAAAATTTTCGCGGAAGCATAAAAGCACTGACAAATAATCAGTCGCTTAGCAGTAGTCCCTCCAATTTAACCCCTTGTGCACAATTTCTCCTCTCATTCACTAAAATGCAGTTAAATGCAAGAGGATTCCGCACGTGATTATCAATTTTTGCCATCACATTGTAGTGGTATCGTGGAAAACCAATTCACTTGCAACGTTGACAACCTGCCGTGTTATGTGGGGCAAGAAGTTGACATGATCAATCTAGGCAATGATTAAGGTGAATGCACACCCAAACACTCACGTGGCCAGTGCACGAGGGTAGGTTAGTGATGTGTATGTGACACAGGATGAAGAAGTGTGCACGTGCTTCACACTGTGCATTTCTCGCCTTTCCGTAATTTCACGACGTCTCATAACACAGGCTGTATTCATCACCAACTGAAAGAGGTGGGTTAAGAGATACCGTGCAATATCGGTCTTGTGGTTGGGCATCAATAAAGTGATGCCTTAGTGAGGAGTATTACAACACCCTCTACTGATTTCATCCATCGAGACAGGCGAGTAATACATCACTATAAAGACAGGCTGTATCATTTCTGCACTTCAAAGCAGCATGAACCGTTTGCACATTTGTTCCTTTTTACCACAATACACACTAAAATAGATGTAAAAGAAAGCGGAGTTCCGTTAAAGAGATCCAGTTAGCAGGAAGGCATCGTCGCTGATCAAACTCAGTTGAAAATGGGGGGAAAGGAATAGGCTTTACAAGCTTTGTGTTTCATCATGTCCTATAATATTAGAGATGACAATGGTTAATACATTTATGGGAATGCATAAAGCACAAGAAAATCTCGGTTAGTTGGGTGATGTGTACGTTAAGCTCAGAAAGTATACCTTGATCACAGGTCATTCACCTCGATACAGAAAGCGACAAATAAAGCAATGTTACAGCATCTGCCTCATATCTCTAGCTATGGAAGAGATTGCATCATTGACAGGCGATTCGCACCATGGTGCATGTGATTGGTCAAAATAAGTAACGAATGCACTTTTCTCCCAAACTCAAAACTACGGCAGTTCCACAGAACGAATCGTTTTGTCACCGATTTACCATTCGTTCCTTGAGCAGCACACTCGGTCGTAAGCAGCGACGATGCGTCTTTGATACAGTGCAAAGGTACAGACGACATTTTCTGATTAATTCCATCTGTCACAAAGACTTGTGGGACGAAGTAAATAGTCCTTACCATGCTTGAGCTCAATGGCGAAAGCTGGAAACGTTGTCAGTCCGACTTGTACAGATCAGACGAATTGTTTACCCGCATTCTTTAAGGGGGAGAAGGCGCGACAATTCCTACACAAAATAGAATACCTACGCATAACACATCAATTTCACATTATCCTGCAATTAATTCGTGCATGATTTGCACCTGCCATTTGCCACAAGCCATAATTCAAAGCATTTGTGTGAGTTAAAAAGAAGTTCACGAAATCATGAAGGTGGCAAAACCTTGTTCTAAACTGATTCACAGTCACCTCTTTGCCCTCCATGCACAAAACGGGTCTCAGTGTTAGTCAGATGACTACATTTCAGTTGTGCAAAGTGTTGCAAGTCTTACTGAGGCAACCTTCAAAGAAATGAGCACATGATTTAAATGATGGCTAAATCTTTATTTGTGCAAGAGAGGCAAAGCACTGCAAAAAATTGCC